ACTGGAATAGCAAGTAAGTAGCTTATTTTAGTAGTAGAAGGCAGATAATTTTGATGAAACTAACTTAACATATACTTCAATTATCCAAAGCAAGTAATTTTTAAAGTAATGTTATTTATTTTTATAATTTATAATTTTTATATTAGGTCATTTGGTCATTTCAAAAATGAAATGACTAAATGACCAATGACCAATTCATTTGGTCATTTGGTCATTGGTCATTTGAAGTGCCAACACTGATATAAAGCTCTATTTCGACCCTGATAACTCAAACCAAGTCTTCAGCTCCTCTTTCATAGCCTACCAAATTAAAATTTATATAGAGATTGATTATTTAATGTAATTTTTTAGTTATGTGTTATTATCCGTAAGCCCAATAATTAAATATTTTCACACTTGCAACATATATAATTTACCAGTACAATACAATCCCTTTAAACAACTCTAGCGCCTAATATTTATACTAAATTATGGATTTTCTGACACGTACATATGTAATTAGAGTGTATATCATTCTACTTACAATCACAATTCAAGTCATATAATAATCATTTTTCTTTATAGAATACTGTAGAATGACAATATTTTAATATTAAACATATAAATTTCAAACTGTTACTCTTTAAAGATAATTATCAATTAGCAAATTAGTTAAAATTGATAACCAAGAAAAAAATTGGACATTGGAAAAAATGGGGCATTAGAAAAAATAGAAAAGAGGTCTTTTTTTTTTTTTTTTTTAAGTCTTTTTACACATTTTGTAGTATATATATTTATGATCTATGGCAGCTTAAGAATTAAATAAGCTTAAGAAATTTTGAACTTTGGTTTTTTTTTTTTTTTTTTTTTTCTTAGGATGGTTCTTCTTGATTTTAGTTAAAACATCATGTAGAACTGCCTTATATTAGTTTTTTTTTTAATTTTTTTTTACTGTATTTTTGTGTAATAATACTTATAAACATTATTTCAAATAATGGTTGAAATTACACTAATACATATTATTACACAAAAATATAGTAAATTTTTTTAGAATAGATACATAAAACCAATTATTCTCACTCAGATATCATATTAAACACTGTCTTTATTAGACATTATGAAGATACATGATGGGAGTAGTACTCCACTTCATCACTTTCTCTTCTGCTATTACATATTGTACTCATAACAATGCTATATACACGTGAATATGCTCACGTGATGAAGAATAATTGAGAATCAAAAAACTGAGGTGTGGCGCATATTTTACTATTTTTTTTTTTTTTTTTTTTTTTTTTGTGAGTTCAAGCCCACTCAACTTGTTACATTCAACATTAATTTTTATAATAGTGAGTTTGAGCCCATGCTATGGTGTGGCGCATTCAACTCATTACACATGATATCAATTTTTATATAGCGGTACATTCAACTCCTTAGATATAATAATATCAATTTTTATAAGTGTAGTGAGTTTGACTCCACGCTTCAACTCAGTACACATGACAACATCTACATAAAATAGCGAGTTCGAGCCCACGCTATGGTGTGGCGTATTCAACTTGTTATACATAACAACAGGCAGAGTGCTAGGTGCAATGAATGAGAGAGAGAGAGGGTGTGAGGGATGAGAGCCAGATTCTAATCGGGCATCAAAGAGAACAAGTGACAAGACAAGCGAAGTAAGAAAGCACTGAGATTCACCATTTACTCCCACATGTATCTTTATAATCTCTGCATACATACATACCTATAATCTCTATCACATGCATATCTATAATCTCCATTGCATACAATCATATGCTATGACCTTTTCACATAAGCCTCAATTTCATATAAGCCACAAATCAGGTTATCCTCGCGATAATAACTCTAGCGTGACTATCGTCAATGCATAGGGCTATTTTTAACTCCAATAAATTAAGGCAACACATAGTGCAAAATTTCTACAGTCTTTTATATAATGTTTATAAATAGATTAATATATACCAATACTTAATGTATTAGTACAATACAATACCTGCGTCATGCTTATTTCAAGCTTCCTTTAAGCACCTCATGCGTCTAGTTACTATGTTTAGAATATTTCTAAATTATTTAACTACGTAGTAATGCAGGATAATTACCACATGTCGTAATTATTACGACATGTAGTAATAATTACTAGCGATAGTAATATTTACTATAATTAAAGTTTTAAAAATCTTATAAAAATATAATTGTTGTAAAAAACTATTTACGTCACCATATTTTAAAGACTGTTAGTCAAATCATTTCAAAGACGCTAGAACAGCTCGAAAAAGTTATTGCAGATGAAAATATCAACTGTCTTGATTATGAACGATTTACAGAATGTAAAAAGATTGGTTCTGGTAGTTTTGGAGAGGTGAATTGACCCTATAAGAAAAGTGGACCGGGTGTTGGTATGGGTTGACACGGAGTTGTCTGGATAGGCACGTGTCAAGTGGCACGTAAAGGCACAAAACACGAACCAAACCGTGACAGAATAGCACATATATTACGTTTTACATACATGCTACCCAATGCACGTGTCAATACTGTGCACATTTTATTATGTTATTTTACATGTAATTACTCGTGCAAAACCCGTAAGTTTTGGTTTAGTAAAGTGCAGCAAAACCCGGTCCATTTATGGTCCAAAATGTCCAGGTAAACAGTCCAATTCAGACCAATTTAACGTGCCAACACAGTACACAGATGTACAAACCGGACATCCACCTGTTCCACACTCAGCCGTGTCTCTCCTTAGAAACACGTGCCTACACAGACCACTTTTTTTATAGAGTGAAAGACTGTAATTTAACAGTTGCTCTTAAGTGTCTTAAATACAATTTAAGTTTAAAAAATTTCATTAATGAGGTATCGGTTGTAAATTGAAACTTTAATTAAATCCTATTAAAGATTAATACTCTATGTATTTAATTCATAATTATAAATTAGCTTATACTATTACAAAAAATTCAGGAATTCCAAAAAACAAAAATCAACCCAAACAGTATTACATTCTATGGTGTCACAAAGGGTATATATTTATATAATTTTGAGCTTTAAATAATTACTATTTAAATGAGAATAATAGTCTAATAAAAATCTATAGATGGCAGCAGAAATTATAATATGGTTTTACAATATGCTGATGAGGGAACTTTAGAAAAATATCTAGAAGTAAAATTTAAAGGACTACAATGGACCGATAAATTATGTATTGCTACGGAAATAGCAAGCGGACTTTCATTCTTGCATAATAATAATATTATTCATAGAGACCTTACAAGTAGTATATATTTTATTTTATTTTATATTTATGAATTTGCTAATACTTTAATAATTTAGCATCCGAGGAATATCTTAATCCATCAAGATAAACTAAAAATTGCAGATTTTGGACTATTGAAACAAATAAATGAGATATCTATAACTTCAAATTCATATCTTGAGGAGAATATTAAAGGAGTGATAGAATACACAGATACTTATTGCTTTATGGGCAAAGGTAAAAAAAACAAAAACTCTGATGTTTACAGTTTTGGTATAATCCTTTGGGAAATTTCAAGCAGAAACCCACCATTCCAAAGCATTAAAGCTAAAACAGAAACTCGCCTCAGTCTTTATCTATGCAGAGGGAAAAGAGAGGATCCAATAGAAGGTACAACGTCTCAATATATTGAGGTTTCAAAAAATGCTGGGATAGCAATCCTGATGAACGCCCAAGCGCAAAATCAATTCACGATACTTTAAGCAAACTTATTCCTGACGAGATACTGATCGAGAAAGGTATAGGAAATGTGAAGGGAGCACAACAAAATGACTTGGAAAATAGTTGGGGAGAAATGTTGGCCCAAATAGGTGAATTAAAAAAACCAGTACTTAGTCGATCTGAGTGAATCTCATGAATTTAAAGAAGCTTTAGAACTATACGTCAATCTACGGGGAACATGGAGTGTGCCAATTGTCAAGACAATATATAGTGAAATGGAAATGGATTATGAAAAAAGAGAAGGCGATGTTGAAAAAGTGGTTATTGATTTTTTGACTTCAAAGGATAAACTTACTTCTGTTGATAAGCTGATTCTAGAGACTGAAGCAAATGAATTTTTGATTCTTAAAGAAATAACATTGCTAATTAATAAAGTTAATAGTTTTTTTAAACCAGAGAATCAATTAACTTTGGAGGATATAGATATCTTAAATGCTGCAGCTAATGAATTTTTGATTTTAAAGGACAAGAAAACTTCGAATCTTCTGGAGATGGTGTTAAATGAATTTTTATCGTCACCAGAAGAAAAACTATTAAAAAACATATTTTGTAATTTGTTGGAAAGCTTATTTGTCTTCGAAAACAAACTATCCTTAAAAAGTAAGAGTAACCTAGATTTAGCACGTCAAATAACTTTAGAAGATGCAGAAGCTTTAAAAAAAGCCTCAAAAGACAAAAAGGATTTGAAACAAGCTGTCAATGAATTTCTGACTTTAAAAGCTAAAGAAGTTTTGGAAACGGCAGTAAATAACTTGAAATATAAAAAAGTACTATTGTTATTAGGTAGTGAAGGCACAGAAAAACTGACATTTAATTGCTATCTCGCTCATTGTCTATGGGATAAAGTTGAAAAGGACTTGATACAACTCATTCCTTTATTTATTGCATTAGCACCACTAAAGGAGTTTATAAATAAAGATCAGGATTTTATTGAAGTCTATTTACAAGAAAAGAGAAAACTATCTGAAGACCAAATTAAAGAATTACGGAATAGGAAGTTTGTATTTATTTTAGACAGTTATGATGAAATTGCTGAACGTGAACATCATGCCTATAACAGCAATATGTTTTCTGAATAGAAAAATGCGAAAATTATCATCAGTTGTCAACCAGAATACTTAGATATAGGCTATGGAGAAAGATTCTGGCCTAAAGAAAACGGAAAAAGAGGGTTCCAGGAATTGACATTTACACCATTTTCCGATGCTGAAATAAAAAAATATATTATAAAATATTTTAACTATTCCCAGAAGGGAGTTAATCCATTACCATGGAACGCAGACACATATATAAAGCAAATAGAAGATATACTACAAGTAAAAGATCTTGTGTATAATCTTATTTTATTAAAAATTAGTATGACTGTTTTACCAGGCCTTCTCAAAGAAATAGGAACAACATCTCAAATAAGTCATATAGTTTTGTATGATGAATTTATTATGAAATGGTTTGAGCGTGCTCAAGATCATTTGCAAAAAATCAATTAAAAGATGAAGAACAGAAAAGTTTTGATAATTTAAATAAAGAAGGTTTTACTAATCATTGTTTACAATTTGGTAAAAAGTTTGCTTTCGAGATGTTTGTGGATAATAACAAAGTAGTTGTAAATTATGATCAAGTAAGTGAGGAGACCACATCTAACTAGGCGACATTTTTAGGAAACGCAAATGAAAAAATGTCGCTTGATGCATTTTAGCATGCCATTATTTCAGCGCGGAAATCAATATTGGTTCTTCCATAAATCATTACGAGATTACTTAATCGCTTGCACATTGCTAGATTCATTTAAGGATACATCACAGGAAATCTTTTCAACAAGTGGTCAATTATACCAAAACCTGCAATTCAACAATTTCTGGCTGAACGAATTCAACAAATACCAGAGTGCATACAACCGTTATTAAATTTTGTTGAGTGTTATAAAAAGAATGAAACATTCAAATTGCTGTTGTTAATGCCATTACAGCTCTGATATGTGCCGAAATACAGCTTTCGATAAATTTAAACAATATTCATTTTCCAGGGGTGGATTTGAGCAATGGTGTTTTTAATGACACAATTTGTAGGAGCTGATTTAAGCAATGTGAATTTTCAGAATGCAATGCTTAAAAATGCTAACCTTGAAGATGCGTCTCTTCAAGATGCGAATCTCAAGGGTGCAGATCTCACCGGTGCAAACCTTCAAAATACAAACTTTCAAAATTCGAAACTTCAAAATATAAATTTCCAAAATACAAGTCTTCAATACGCAAAACTTGACATTAATGGAACATTTTATGTTGGAAAGTGTTATTTGAATAGAATTGAAGTTGAAAAAGATGAACATAAGGCTTTCATATATTATCAAAAATCTGCAAAGATGGAGAACTCTGATGGAGCCAATAATGTTGAAAATTGTTATTATCATGGAATTGGCGTTGAAAAGGATGAACATAAGGCATTCATTTATTATCAAAAATCTGCAGAGATAGGAAGCTCTAATGAAACAAATAATGTTGGATATTGTTATCGTCATGGAATTGGAGTTGAAAAGGATGGACATAAGGCATTCATTTATTATCAAAAATCTATAGAGATGAAGAACTCTAGTGGAACATATAATGCTGGACATTGTTATCGTCATGGAATTGGAGTTGAAAAGGATAAACATAAAGCATTCATTATAAAACATCTGCAGATATGGGTAACATTAATGGAATATTTAATGTTGGATATTGTTATTATGAAGGAATTGGAGTTGAAAAAGATGAACATAAGGCATTCAATTATTTTAAGAAATCTGCTAACATGGGTCATAGTGGTGGAACGAATAATGTTGGAGATCATTATCAATTTGGAGAAGGAATTGAAAAAGATGAAAGTATGGCATTTCTTTATTATCAAAAAGCGGCTAAAATGGGTGACATTACTGCAATTTTTAATCTTGGAGAATGTTACCAGAAGAGAATTGGCGTTAAAAAAGATTTGAAAAAAGCATTGAATTGTATTTGAAATCTGCCAACCTAGGTGATGTTAGTGGTGTAAAAAGTGTTGGATATTGTTATCGAAATGGTATTGGAACAAAAAAAGATTTAAAGGAGGCCAAACATTGGTTTCGAGTATAAGTTTTTTGTCTTTTTTTTTATTTTAAAAAAAAAATTCATATAGAATACTAAATTGAGCTGCTTGTGAACGAAGTCACAAGGTGGTACATTATTGTGAGTCACTGGACCTTCCTGTGACAAGGGTCATGGAACATTGTTCATGAAAGAAATGTATATCTGAGTAACCTGACGATCAGATCGTTCTTTGTTCTTGATTTTTTCTGCTCGACTTTGTGTCTAGCACCCATCACAAGAACAAGCCAATTTTTTAGATTGAATAAAGAGAGCTAACGATATACTTTATATTTCCTTTAAAACATCCTGTCTCAGAAACTAACATCGGCCAAAAAAAAAAAAAAAAAAAAAAATTTTTTAAGAAACTAATGATGACAGAAGAATCACAACATACCAATACCGACATTGGTAGTGAAGCAACCACTTCTCAGATGGAACCAAGTTTGTTGGTTAATTGAAACCATTTACGTATAACTGACTTAAGGGCGATGTGTCAGAGATGTAATATTCTAGCAGAAGGTTCAAAAGCAGAACTAATGAACCGTCTGGAAATTTATTGGAGTGAGTTTGAAAAGGACTATGCACCACAAGGACAATTGAAAGGAAAATCGGTTGAACAAACCCAACCTGAAGGTCATGAAAAAAGGGATGAACATTCCATACAAGAAAGTACCAAAGGGCAAAATTATGCCTTTTTGTCGTATATAGAGAATAGGTTGGAAGAGAAAATTGAAGAAAAGCTAGGTGAATCATTAGCGCGAGTTTTGGACAAGAGCTTGCAACAATGGTCATCGCAGCTAAATAGGTCTAGCTTAGGGGAAGCTCACTTTCCTAGCAAAAAGTTTAAAAAGACTCAGGACTAGCATGAGTATGATGCGATTTGTGATGCTGGCTCGTTACTCCATAAGGTGATCCAAGAAAACTCAAAAAAAAAGGTCTTGGAAGCACAAGAGGTATTGAGATTGAGGGCCTTTGTTTTGAGAGTAGTAGAAGAGGAAGGTTGGAACGTTGTGGCGAAAATTCCAAAACCGACCTTGGGTGAAAATGATGAATTTAAAACCCTATTAATTGAAGTACGGAAACAGGCAAAGCCTTATAAAAGTAAATCAGAGTCTTATTACCATAGAGCCGGATGGGGTTCCGGGTCAAGAAACTTCCACTACGCACCCTATCCACCACCACAACCATATGTTCAGTATGCTCTTCCTTTCCAAGGATACCAGAGCCAAGCAGCATTCCAAAATCCAGGCCCAACTTACCAGAATTCCTTTAATAAGCCATTGAAGCAGGTTATCTACTATTATTGTAGTGGAACTAGTCATACGGTGGCAATATGCACATCGAAACCTGGGAAGGAAGTTCGTTGAGTAATGGGTTTTTTTGGAACAAAGGAAACAATGCACGAGGGTGACTATGCTCGGGGGAAACTAAAAAACAATACAATAAACTTAAGGGACATGTTGGATCAAAGCAGAAAAGTGGTAAGAAGGATTCACGAACCATGAGCAGTAAATATTGGATGGAAGTGATAAAACCGCCACTAGTAGTAGTTTGTTGGCTGAAAAATTATGTACCATTGTTCCCAAGAGACATGTGGAGTCTGATTCAGAGTGAAGTCTCAAGGCTCTACAAATTGACGAAGGATCAAGAAGTATGGTTAGAGAACGAAATTCTCTGATTAGAGAAACTAGGGGCAGTAGTAAAAGTTGGCACAGCAGGCTCCCACCTGGCTACGTTACTAGAAGTATCTCTGATTTTCTTGGTTCCCAAACCGGGCCCCAAACGTTTCCGGTTGGTGATAGACTTGAGAAGACTAAACAAATGGCTGCCTGAAAAGTCTTTTCGCTTCGAAGGCTTGGGGGGCTTACTAAAATCGGTAAAGAAAGGTTGGTCAATGATAACCTTGAATCTGAGGGATGGTTATCACCATGTACTAATGAATATAGAGGCCTGACATTTTTTGGGGTTCCGGGTAAGAAGAAACTGGTATCAGTACCAAGTATTGCCGTTTGGCCTCTCTCAGGTGGTCTGGGTGTTTTCGAAAATAATGCGGGCTTTGATTGCGTATTGGAGAATGATGGGTATAGCCTCGGGCTCACATGTGGACGATATATAGATAGCGCACCACTCAGAGACGATTTTAGCAAAAATTGGGATGAAGTGATACTGCCAGATTTGGAAAATTGTAGCTTCATCCTGGCACAAGTGAAATGTTTGGAATTCTACTCTCTCGTAGATGTGGCAAACAGACAAAATTGGAAGTGGGACGAAAAGATCTGGCTGTCAGATCAAGCAAAAACGGACTTGTGCTAGTTCCTGGAGAACCTAGAAAGATACAATAGTCACCCGGCCTGGAGGCCATCATTGATAAGGAGTTTATTTGTAGATGCCTCGACTACGGGTTGGTACGCCAAATTAGGGGATCTAACGGGATTTGGAAATTGGGCAGAAACACTAAGCTTTCAGGAAATAGCAAGGTTGGAAGCAGAAGCGGTTCTACTTGGGCTCCGGAGTTTTTCAAACTTGTTGAAAGGTTCCTGGGTCCTAGTGTTCATAGACAGTTGCACGGCTTTGGCGATGATAAAATGGGGCAGAAAACGTTGGTGGCAAAAGGAGGCTTACAGGAGCCTGTAGCAAATTTGTCTGGAAAAAGACATTTGGATCTACAAGATGAAGTAGGTATCATCGTTGGAAAACCCAGCAGATTTTTGAACCAGGGCATTCAACTCTTCAGACTGGTATATAAGGGAGGAAGTGTTTTAACAAATAGAAATAACCTTTGGACCGCACTCGATAGACCGAATGGCCTCTCATATGAACACAAAATTACGAAGGTTCAACAGCTATCATTTTTGCCCTGGTGCGGAAGCGGTAAATTGCTTCACCCAAAAGTGGAAGAAAGAGGTAAATTATGTGTGCCCGCCACTTTACCTGGTTCAGAAAGTCCTTTATCACGCGAAGAGTTGCGGTGGAAGAACAACAGTGGTGATCCTGTATTGGACCTCAGCTGAATGGTGGCCCCTGCTTCTAGAACTAAATTGGGAAGTGATCACACTTCCGGTACCAAGCGTTATGTTTGCCCCGGGCCCATCGGGCTTTGTAGAACCCTGGAGAAACCAGAATTGGAGGTTTTTAGCAGTTCACATTTGCCTATAAAAGAGCTATCACAGAAGGCAAGGTCTTTGGCAAAAAATTCTATCTTGCCTTTCTATAAGGCACAGTCTGAGAAGTATTGGGGCCTATATAAATAATTCTGTAAAGGTTTCGGAGTAAATGCAAAAGAGCCATCAGAGGATAGTATTTTGGCATTTATTATGTGTTTGGACATATCGGGTTTGGCATCTCAGACTTCCTGGATCATACAGGTTGTTACGAATAATCTCTGATTCGAAGGAAAAGAAGACTTTAGAAAATCACATCCCATTATACAGGTCCTAAGGGCGATAATAAAGGAAGCTACAAAAGACAAAACACCAGACTGGCCACGTGACCCATTACCAGTCGGAGCTCTTAGGCACTACGTGGATATGCCCCCAGTCTGGTCAGATAGTACCATGCACTGCCGTGATGTGGCTTTAGTTGCCCTAGAACTAAGGATAATGCGAAGACCAGGAGAAATAGGCGATTTGACAATGAGAGATATGAAATAGGATGATGAGGGAATTTTGTAGGTCAGAATCTGTAAGTCGAAAACAGATCAGTTTAGAAATGGGAGATTTATCCCGGTGGAGAGCACAGGTTCGAAATATTGCCCGGTCAAGCTGCTGAAGCAGTATCTAAAGGTACGTCCAAAAACAGGTGATGAT